CGCCACGCGTGAAATACCGTACTCAGTAGCTGTTTCAAATACCGAGGGACCTGGGAGCCGTCAGTTGGCTGCAGCTATGTGCTGGTCGTACCATGTGACCGTTTATATTATTACTGACCACGCCACTGACTGACTGACATTGCCACGCCACGCCAATGGCCAATTAGGATTCAATAAAAGTGGTCAATTAAGATAGTTGCAGGGACGAAAATGCTACCATATGAAACTTAACTAAAGCTGGCTCATACCTTTTTTATTAGGATCCATCTTTTTGCATGTGCAAGAGAATTGCAAAGTAACCGGTTAGGCTCCATTATTTGTCGTTTAATCTCCCCGTCGGCGGCATTCATCCAAGCGTGACAAAAAGTTAAGTCATTGACTGAGGTTGACCCATGTCCGCATAACTGAAGCATACAGGCCTCTATGTCATACTTAATAAGTAGATATACGTCTTTTGTGACATGGGATGAGCGAGGCAATAACAAACATGCGAACAGTGTGGTATTCAAGGGGCGGGGACAACGGGGCTCAAGCTCCGTGGGACGTGTACAATGCGTTGCGTCATTAGCATGAGAATAAGTACGCACGACAATTGCTCACATTCTAACTGAGGAATGAGACTCAGAATGCGTAAGCAAAATTGATTCTACAGATTCAACGCCTGATGGAAATTGGGTATACCGCAGCGACGGCATGTACAATCAACTCGCATTTAGCGTAGAAATTATCGGAATTCACGGCTGTTGTTATCTGTTGCAAAACCACCGCGAAAACTCGCTATCTGTAGACCTCGGAAATGCGATGAGCTTGCTTGGCACACCAGTGCCCAAACAAGTATGCCAGGGGCGCCTGCATGTTTGCTGTGACACAGGTACATTTCATCTACTGCCATAAATCATGTAGCGATAGTGAAAAGGCTTGAGTATCACTGGACTTGGATCGGTGGTTTAGAGATGTCGGTGATGTCAGATGCCGGCCTCACCAGAGCAAGCCTGACTGTCGATCACATCAGCAACCTTGATACTGACCAATATATATATATATATATATATATATATATATATATATATATATATATATATATTCCACAAACACTCTTCGCACCTTGTGTACCAGAACATGCAAGAAAATTGCTTGTTAGCACACGTATACCAAAAAAAGTTTGTCGGAGTCCTCCTGGCAGTCATCGTCTACTGCTTAACAGTTTCGGGCCCGCGTGGATTTGAACCAGGGAGCCAGACACCGGATGTCTGCTCCAGAGCAATTAAGATCATGAGACCGTTCGGCCACACACGCCACATAATATTACTTGTCAGATATCAACAAGCCACGGAGCTGTCGCATCTACATGTGCCTATAAAACAAGCTCTGCTGCTGATCGTGATAATCGGGGCTGGCTGTTTTTCGCCCGAATTCCAAAGATTCAACTGGCATGAACGTCTCCCGTTTCACATGGCGATGCTGCGCATAACCCCGACTAACCCGTCAGCCTATCTTCTCTCCGCGGCCCTCAGCGTTCTGCACGCTGCCCCTCCCACTCCCCACCCCCTCTCTCTGCACCCCGACGGGGGCCTTTGCACGTTCCCAGCACGTTCCCTTTGCACGTTGCCAGCAAAGATACAGGATGGGCTTAGCACAGGTTTGCCTCCATCACCGTCAGTCGGGACGTACGAATGGATATGGCTACAAATCGGGTCGTCATTCTGTACGGCAGGCGCTTGAAGCGGCCTTAGTCGGCAGACTACAGCTGCTTCCGACGGAACATACACTTAGTTCATATGTCACTGGTATGCATTGCTGTACCCTTCAGCGACTTGGTATTTAATGCAATGAGCTCAAGCTTATGCGGTCTACCTGGTGTCATGTATCACATCACAGTGTTTTGTTTGCTCTAATCACAAAGCTGCATTACCTCTGAACTTTGGCTAGTTGTTTTCAACGACTAACGATCTCCTCTTTGATTACCACAACAATATCGCCGACATGCACGAAATGAAATAGCAGTTATTGTGGTAAGGCCAGCATGTATACATAACTTTATACGAAACTGCCTTCTGGATGGGTATACAGCAATAATGAAAAGAACAGCTTTTCTTACATTCATAAATCAAAATCCCCGGGCAATTAAGTAACATCCCATTCCCCACCAACGCGCTGATATTCAATGTTTAATACGCGTGAGAAACGATAAAAATCGGCCAACGGCCGAACATCGAAGGCCAAAAGGAAACAAATTAACCTGATCCTCGTTGAAGCTGTTTTGAAATTTAATCCCGTGAGACGTCAAGACATGATCCCCAAGCAAATGTACAACACAAGGGTTAGGTCTGCCCGATGATGTTCACAAGCCAGGGAGGTAGCTAGAGACTTAAAGGCGGGGGGGGGGGGGGGAGGCGCGGCGACGGGCGCCATGCCCCAACGAGACCAGGAGGCTTGGACTAGATGCTGGCCGAGTTCGGGGAAGTCTGTCCAAATTCGCCAAAGTTCGGAAAAATTGGCATTTTGCACCGTCAAGGAGGATTCTGAAATATATATATATATATATATATATATATATATATATATATATATATAATATTACATACATCCATCAAACTGGGTAAAAATAATAGAAATACTAACGACGCAATTGCAAATGACTAATTTAAAAGCAATTCTGAAGTATATTTTATAGGCGTCGCCACATGTTCATTTTCACCCTACGAAAGTTCTCCCAAATTGTAGAGATGGGACAGCCATTTTCGATTCGTCTCCACCCAAAGCCCATAGCATAAGGCCAACACTAAATTGTTAGGAGAGTTGTCACACATTATGATTGCATTGGCGTGTGGTACTTAGAACTAACTGTGCCCCCTGCAGCGTCACTCTTGCACTTGCACAATGCTATTTCTGCACCGCACACCACTCCACTCCTGACCTTGAACGTTCTAAATGACCCTGAAAAGTTCATGAAAGCAAACAACAACAGTGACGAAAGCAATTCGTCACGAAATTCACGCGCGCCAGGTTGCCGGCATTGGCAGAGGTGTCCCCGCACGGGCAATGGGTTTCATTTGCCTTTTTCAAAGTGTGTATGAACCATATTTTCACAAGCCTGCAATCACAAGCATTATGATAAACGTGCACATAATGAGGTTGTGCACATAGCCATATAACCTATATCATGCATACTGCCGCAAAAGTCGAGTAAACGGCCGACGTTTTACAAAGCTTTTGAGCATACAGGGTACTTAGAAAACTGCAACATTACGGAAATGAGCGCTCGCACGACGGAAATTGATTATGTAAATTTTCCTAACGCACTGGGTATGGCCACAAAACATAACATACCACGCTTTTTACGAAAATGCCTCTAGGCTATGGTTCACCAAACTACCTCATTGTCTTCGTAACGCTTTGGCCAAAGTGTGGTCGTGGTAACATATGCAAATCCATGCGATTTTTAAACAAACACCGTACATAGCCAGCGTACATTTCCACACATTGCCACCTACACAGCTCGTCAGAATGTTTCCAAAGACCTTGACATTCAAGTGATGCCCATGAAATGTCGCCACGTCTTCATAAGCTGTGATATGGGGTACGATGCGGAAGGGGAAAAATCATTCCAAATAAATTGAGAACCAAGAGCAGCAAACGGTAGAAACCACTCCAAGCATACAATTTATGCATGTAGCCTAAACTGGTATTATATGATTGCAAGAGGGATGCGAGTGTTGTGGCCCTTCCATTCGCGAATATGTAAATTAATGCGATTGCTACGCTTATAAATAAGTGAATTCAAAGGTTTGTCGCCACCCCACCCCCATCCCCCACCCTCACCTCCATCCTCTACCCCTTCCTTGGACGTTCCAACACCGCTACCACTTGCTCATACGCTGTGTAAATACTGTTATGTGAAATAAGTTATGAAAACGATATGATATTTATCTCATTTTGAAAAAAACATATCAATGGTGTTATGCTTCCAGTGTAAAGATTCCTGAACACGGATGATGTTTTTTTCAGCAGCGTGCAACAAGCCAGCAAAGCTCCAGAAGTCTTTCAAAAATTTAAGGCACCTTCTCCATTCTTCAAAATGGCGACCAAATGTGGCGTCATCAGATCGATACGAGGGCTATTTAGGCATGCATGTCTAAGAAAGTTGTAGTGCACTTTACTTCAGACACAACGTTCTAGCTGCAACTTACGTCGGGTTAAGTGCTCAGTTTGGTAAGATGGCAGACTTCGAGGAATTGCTTTGTCTCCCAGAACGTGGGTGCTTCTCAGCACAGCGGAGCACTGAAATTCTAGGCCAGCAAACAATAAGTGGAATTTAAGATGTCTGGATATGACCATGTAGTTCATAAAGAGGCTACTGAGAGCATGTACCGTGTGATGTTGCATTTCAACGAAATATTCATCGCTTCACATAACGACTGTATCAGGCTTGCCTCGTAACGGAGAAGACGCGAACGGCACATCAAGCATAGAACATTAAGCCTATCCTCGGTGCTCAGTGCGTGTCCGTGTCAATTCTGTCGTTCTAAATGATCAATTTGACCCAATGAATATGGAAGTAGTGCCAACCACGCTGTGCCTCATCGGATCCAACTAAACCACGTGACTCGCTAGCAGCTCGCCTGCGCCGTGGTGCTGGCTGTATACGTCGTCATGGTGCAGGCTGTATACGCCGTGGTGCTGGCTGTATACGCCGTGGTGCTGGCTTTACACGCCGTGTTGCCGGCTGTATACGCCGTGGTGCTGGCTGTATACGCCGTGGTGCTGGCTGTATACGCCGTGGTGCTGGCTTTACACGCCGTGTTGCCGGCTGTATACGCCGTGGTGCTGGCTGTATACGCCGTGGTGCTGGCTGTATACGCCGTGGTGCTGGCTGTGTACGCCGCACCATTGATGGGCTATCGCAGCAACATGCCACCGAAGATTATCGGTTCATGAGCACACACTGCACGCTTCTTCTCTGTGAGACTTCGAGTGAGACTCTCAGGCGCGCTCCTCACCGATGGATGGTCGGACGATGGCGACAGGCAGGTCTCCCTTCTCATTAACGATCAGCGACTCCGCCAGCGCTTTGGTGAAAGTATATGTGTTTGGTCGATCACCAAGCAGCCTGAGAAGCAGATATACGCGGTCACAAAATAGTCGTCCCGTCGGCTCTCCAATGGTACAGCTATGTGCTGCGCGTTTGACACACTCGGCAAACAACTCCGAGACAACTCCGAGGTGTGACAGTGTATCGAAGAACCGATCCTTCATTCACTTCCCACCAGATCCTCTTCTGCAGCATCCGTGGACATGACCGCGACTGTATCCACAAATCTGTGATCGTGATCGTATGACCGTGATCGTATGCGTAATCGCGATCGTCTGCGTGATCGTACGCGCAAACTGATGTTGTCCGTTGACCACGGAGTATCCGACATCCACGTAGGTAGTGAAAATGCACTCACTTGGGCGTTATGTCTGCGATGATATCCTCTTCCAGCCATTCCACGGTGTCCATGACTTTTTTGGGATCGGCAGGGCTGGGGTACACCATCTCTTCGACGACCTCACGGTCACAGTTGCAATATGCCGTTGACACATGGATGAAGGCCTGCGGGGAATGCTGATGCATCAGGATAGTAAAGTAATAAAACGGTTATCAAATAACACATCACGTGGCCCCAGCATCACAAACTGGTCGATCATCGGGACCAATGACCTTAACATCTCCTCCCGTCTCTCAAGACCTCCACTTTGTCAGCTTTGCTAAAATAACGCTGCAAAGGCAGTTGCCGATGGTAACAAACCTCTAGTCTCTTCATATTCTTGGCTAGATTAAGCAGTGACTGGGTGCCTTTGACGTTCATGTTGACGGACACCTTAAGCGCTTCATCGAACTTGACAGTGGCCGCCGAATGGAAGACGATGCTGACCTGAAATCAGGACAACTGCTGTCAGAAAAAAATTGCGCTGAAAGGGAGGTGCATCATTGGCACAGTCTTGCCGGATGTTTGCGTGCAACTCATCAAATATTTATTTACACGTGAATTTGAGGCAGTTGAATGCCGTTGTTATGCCCGTTATGCACGAAATGTTCCACGGTCAGATACGCGAAAATAAAGATGCTGCGACGACGCTTTGCCCTATCTTACAATTTAAAGCCACTTACAAAAAGTAGCAACGATATTTTGAGTTGTTGCATATGCATGCACGTTCATGACACATTCCAGGCATTAAGATTTTAAGATTATGCTGCGTCTGGGCTCATATTCATCTTCTGACCAGACGCAGTATTGCTGCAGTAGAATGCTGCCTTGTGCTGGTCTTCTTAAGCAGCAGTATTGTCACCAACATCCTCCAAAAGTATGTCTTATGTCTGACCCACTGAGCTTTTCGCATCGGAAGATCTGACAAGATCAGAGATCATGGATCGGTATTCTGTTTCTTTTTGTGACTGACAGAGCTCTCATTTACGGGCCATCGGCTAATGATGACTGGGTTGGACCGGGAGCGGTAGCATCACAATGTTTAGCTTCCGAGTAAGATTGCGATATTGGTGATGTTCTTGTCCGATTTATTGTCTTATTTTCAACTAGACCAAGCTCAAAGTTGTCGCAAAACGCGAGAGCTTGAACGAAGCCACGACCTCTTCACCAAGCGGCTGCTGAATCTTGGGAAAGCAGCGCGCGACGCTCCATATCGGCGGAAAAAGGAAACCAGCGGGAACCTTCGAAAGTGTCATTTACCTTGGAATGCACGTCTTTGAAGGTATCCCTAACAGACGATGCTTCAGCGTTTTGGTACAATCAGCAATATTTCGCGGGACCATGTGCCACTTAACGACCCCTTCAGCGCAACCTTCATTTTCACGGTGCTGCGTAGCTTAATGCTAGCTGTCGAGTTTATGACTTTGCAGCGCGACCTACAGCACCAGACTGGCCGCAATAGCTACCAACCGTTCGACGCCAGGAAACATCACTTTCCCATTACAGTGGCATACTTAGATCAGCCCGCAGGGTAGCAGGGACGCGTCTTGCTAGATCTGCCTCAGTATCAAGTCTTCATCAAGTCCGTGCAGAGCAAGCACGAAGCGTTAACATAATTTATCTGTCACGAATCACAAGCTTGTCCGCACTGCCACCAGCTGCGGGGACGAGGGCATCGGCAGAGGTCTAAACAAATGAGCATACGAGTAGGAGCGGACGGTACAACTTCCGCTCCCCGAATCCGTGGGATGAGACGCATCCTTTATTTGACAAAACCGGTTATGGTCTCCAGCAGCTGGAAATTGGCTTTTTAGCCTCCCCCTCCTTCCCCAGCATGGGAGCGCACCCATGGGGCCAATGGACGAGACTGTGCTCGCTTTCCCTTAGCCAGCTTGAAATCCTTAATCCAATGGAAGCTTGTAGAGAGACAGAGAGCTGACCAATCTAAACGTCACGTAGTGACTCTGTAATGTATGCCCGCCTTGCACGCCAGTCTGGTTATGGTAAGTTTGTGTTTGGTGTCTTGTTTCAACTTACTTGTAAGGTGAGAAATCAGTGACATTGCCTTTCTTCCCTTGCGTCATGTGTTGATGGTTATATCTCCCCTTTCACCAGGCTTTGACGTGCGGGACGGGACATTGCGAGACACCATGCTTTTTTCCATGGAGGATGTCTCAAAAACCGGGTGCAAGCTGACTGGCAAGCGAAGTTGTTTCCTTTCGGAAAAAGTTACACGTTGGTATGATGGTTTAGAGCTTCAAAATACCGTCTTAAATCAGCGACATAAAACTGAAAGCCTCGGTTATCGTCACTAGAGATCGAAGGCTTACTGAATTTTGCGTGCGCAGTCGCATCAACGATTTTGAGAAAAAGCAGCATCTGGATTTTGAAAGAAACACTCCGACACATTTTTATACCTCCGAGGATCGGCGCCGCCTAACCAGGAACCAGGAGCATCATTGATCTGATAACACGCGGCCAGAGCGGCCAGGGCCAGAGCAGCCTAAACGGCCAGCGCCGGAGCAGCCTAAACGGCCAGCGCCGGAGCAGCCTGTACGGCCAGCACCGGGGCAGCCTGCACGGCCAGCGCCGCGGCAGCCTGCACGGCCAGCGCCGGAGCAGCCTGCACGGCCAGCGCCGGAGCGGCCTGCACGACCAGCGCCGGAGCAGCCTGCACAGCTAGTGCCGGAGCAGCCTGCACGGCCAGCGCCGGGGCAGCCTGCACGGCCAGCGCCGGGGACAGCCTGCACGGCCAGTGCCGGAGCAGTCTGCACGACCAGCGCCGGGGACAGCCTGCACGGCCAGCGCCGGAGCAGCCTGCACGGCCAGCGCCAAAGCAGCCTGCACGGCCAGCGCCGGAGCAGCCTGCACGGCCAGCGTCGGAGCAGCCTGCACGGCCAGCGCCGGGGCAGCCTGCACGGCCAGCGCCGGAGCAGCCTGCACGGCCAGCGCCGGGGACAGCCTGCGCGGCCAGCGCCGGGGTAGCCTGTACGGCCAGCGCCGGGGCAGCCTGCACGGCCAGCGCCGGGAACAGCCTGCACGGCCAGCGCCGGGGCACCCTGCAAGCTGTCAGCCCGCCGGTGCGCGGCCGGCCTGTGGCGCCAGGTATGCAGAGCGTGAGGAGGCGCCTGGATCGTAGGGCGCGCTCGGCTAGTTTCGCCGCGCGTGCCGTAAGCGGCCCGGGAGCTGGCTGCAGCGATCGATGACCTGGGGATGGGGAGGGGTGGGGCGGCGCCGGCCGTCCTGTGACTCGCGCGGCATGGTAACGTCAGACTCGGCACGACAGGAGGCGACGCCCGCGAACGCCACAGAGTCGGTCAGCTGGGTCACGCCGGGAGGCGTCACATCCAACATCCGTTATAATTTTGTGCCATGGTGGTGACGCGGCGCGCGTGTTTAGCCCAATATAGGCTTTTCAGTTCTGAATAAATGGAGCCATTTTGTCTCATAGAAGGAAAGTGGATAATTAAGGGCAAGCATCCAATTTCATAACAGTTGAAAGCAAATTTTGGATGCAGTGCAAGAACGTAACCGGGGAGGGGGGGCAAGGGTCGGTCGGATTGGGAACCCTTGGGGCTGCTTGAAGTGTGGTCAAAAGGCCCCCTCCAGTGCCTATATATGCTTTGGATACGACTCTTGGGCAATTGAAATGCAACGCACACAAGACGCCGCTCCGGCCGACCGGCTCATCTTCAGCCACTTCGCGATAACCGTTGGACCGCTACATCTGCCATATTTGGGTGCAGTCCTCCAGGCTCCACCGCCGGCGGCTCACGACCTTGACCGTGAGGGGTCGAGGTGGCGTCTGCTCGCCTCACGAGAGACGCTCGATACCAGCGGCCAGGCCCCTGGCAGCCGGCTGGCCAGGGTCGTCGTCGGCCGGGCCCGTCCACAGCCCCGGTCCGAGCCGCTCCCCAGTCCTGGCCCGAGCTGCTCCCCAGCCCCGGCCCTATCCATGGCCAACGTGTGAGGCGGTTCCGCATCACCATGCGAACGAGAGGAGACCGCGAACAGATTTAGCCGCCAGCTTCGCGGGGTGTGAACAGCTGAATCAACTGCGGGCGACGCCCTGTCCCCACTCCCCCGCCCCCTCCCCCCCCCCCCCTGGCGGCGATTTATCATCGGTCGACGCGTGACGCAGGTCGCGGCCGTGTCGCCAACGGCCCACAGACGCCAGGATAGCAGCCGGACTCGGGGGCGCCGCTATTGCCGCAGTGAGTCAGCCGAGCACACGGACGCCGGCGGCCTGATTAGCGCCGACGCCGGCCGCACATGGCGCTGGGCTTCCACAGCTGGCCGGACAGCGCCGCGCCCAACTGCCGGGGCGGGTGGACAAGCACGGCGGGCCCCTCATCCACAGTCGCTACTCTGGGCACCGTGCTCACTGTGTATCCGATGCTTCCCAGAATGAAGTGGAGTGGTGTGATCAAACGCGATACATTGTAACCTGCCCGAAAAGTTCGCGATATCACAGAAGCATATTAGTACCACGTCCCTTCGCGAGCCAGTGGCATCAGATCGCGAGTCAACGAACAAAATACACTTCTTTCAGAGCGCAACACAATAGGTTTTTAAAACTACGCTGAATTCCTCACCATGCTGATATTCACCACGAAATCCTGTCAGGGGAGTGGGGCAATACCTGCTTCGTGATCCTCTCCCTTCCTCGAGTCCCCCAAGATGCGGCGGCGTAAACTGGCCCAAGCCATCAGGCAGACAGACATAAACTATACCAATGTCGGGAGCGCTCAAGCCGTTTGGTGGCGTTGGGTCGGCGTCCGGGACCGGTCGGCGGCAGCCACTGACCTCCTCCTGCAAGCGTGCCTTGTCCGTCGAGCTGAGGCCGAGGCCTGGCTGCATGATGTCGCCCGGCACGGCCACCAGCTTCTCCAGCTGGCTCGGCGCCGCCCGTCGCAGCCCGTCGAATATCTGAAGCACGACAGGACGGGCATGTCAGGCGGGGCACTAAAACGGAGGCGGCCGCGAGACGACAGCGCGCCCGAAAGATCAACTTTTTATGAGCTCAAAGCACTGCTGCGCACAACAAAAATTACAGAAAGCGCGAGTTCGCGACATCGTGAATGGTCGCACAGCATGTGCTTGATGCGGCATTGCGTGCTGCTGTGGCAGCACATGTGCACCACAGCGGTCTGCGCGACTTCCCCCTGGCATCGGACGGCGGCTGTCACCAGCTCGGCTGTGCCGCCCAGACATCAGCGCCGCCCGACGCGGTCCGCTGGCAGATACGGCTCAGCTGAGGACCGCCGGCTCAGCTGAGGACCGCCGGCTGAGCTGGGGACTGCCGGTTCAGCTGAGTACCGCCGGCTGAGCTGAGGACCGCCGGCTCAGCTGAGGACTGCCGGTTCAGCTGAGGACCGCCGGCTGAGCTGAGGACCGCCGGCTGAGCTGAGGACCGCCGGCTGAGCTGAGGACTGCCGTTTCAGCGCAGGACTGCCGGCTCAGCTGAGGACCGCCGGCTCAGCTGAGGACCGCCGGCTCCGCTGAGGCGCGCTACGATCCGGCGCGGCCAGCTGAGAGAGGCGCTCAACCACCAAATGACGACTGTATTCCAAGAAGAAGCGAAGACACCAACACCTCAGAACAATGCTCAAGCGCAGGCGAAATTCTTCCGAGGACCATTGCCAACTGACAATGGTTTAGTCACTGGTCAAAATGTGGTTCGTTATAGTACGATGTTCAATTAAAAAGTTCGAGGTCAGTTCTATCCATCAATGCAATGTTTTCATAAAACATTACTGAAAGATGCATGTGCACCCAATGTAGTGTGGCGCGGCCCGGCTCCGGCGTTCCGAGTGAGACCGTTCGAGCGGACCTCCGGGCAACGCCGGCACGGGCGCGGCGCGTAGAGCTCTCCGAGCAGGCACCTTCAGAGCGACACGTGACGAGCGGGCTGCTAACCAGCGCCGGGGGCCTTACCACTACGCGAAGCTAGCCTTCGTGGGGTGCGACGCCGATGGCGGCGCGGACTGGCCGCGTCGCCACATTCCGACGCGTCCCGTGGCAGCAAGGACTGGCGCGGCGGTGCGGGTACTGCGCAGGCTCTGTTCCGGCAGTGGGCGGCGCGACCCCGCCGCCCGCTGTCGTAACGCCGGAGCCGAATCCTGCCCATAATACGTCACGGCAGAGCCTGAACACGGGACCACCGTGCGCATGCATACCGCACGCAGCGCCAGAAGCCGACGAGGCCTTGGCACCCCACTCCACGACGGAAGCTGTCTCCGTTCAGTGTGCCAAAAAGCGACTCAGAGGGCCACCCAAACCTTAGACCACACAGAGAGGCCCGGAGCCATGAGTGCCCACCCAGCGACGAGTTTAGCAGACAGCGCAAATCCCGCACTGCTCTATGCACCACCTACGCTAAGCAATGCCAAGGTGAGCAGGATGTTGAAGAGGCCCAAGCAAGGATGTCTCCTGTGCCCTTGGCGGTAGACTCAGAGAAGAGGTACGATAGGCATCCAAGGTTTAAAGGAGACACTAAGATGGCCAGGACTGCGTGGGTCGGAAGCCTTCTGGTGCCAGGCATCGCATTGTTCGTCCACTCTGAGTGGTCATCATGGAATAAGTGTCTTAGGGCCTGCTGACTTTATCAGATGCATCCGAGGCAACCGTAGTCCCGATCCGCAGCGAGCTCTTCCAGTGACGGCCGCCGCTGGCGCGAGAGGATTTCGGGGGACCGGCCGGCCGCTCGTCGGAGTCGCACGGGGTCTGTTGATCCCGATCCGCCGAAAGTGATGGGCGGCGACGACCTTGCCGGCCACAGAGGCGCGAACAGAGGTCGCTCAACTTTCACTGGCGCCGGCCGGCCGACGGCACGCAGCGCCGGGTCGTCGCCACGCCTCGACGGAGTCGGCCGCGTCACGCGTCACGACCCGGAGCCGGCGCCGTGATCAAGCGCCCGTTGTGACTGAGGGTCTGCCGCCACAGGCGGGTCCACCGGCGGCGAATACGTCCGCTCCGGGAGATCGGGGGCGTCCGACTGAAAGCCACAGGCTCCCGCCTCCGTCTTCGTTTCCTTCTCCGCCTCCGTCACCGTCTCCGCCGCGGCACCAGCCGCAGTTGGCCGATCACAGTCTTTGCCCGGTGAAGAGCCAGGATCACCTGAGATTACACCAGAACTGAGAGGGCGACCTTACCGCACCCACCCATATCAGATCAGGAAGGAAGACACACCAGGCGGGCCAGGTCCGGGAGTCAGGGTCAGCAGCTCTCGATGCAGCCCGCCGGCGGGTCAGGTCGGCTTCTCCATAGTTTGCATGAGCAGACGTTCTCTTGTGTCAGTACCCACAAAAACAATGTCACTCTGTAAATTGTGATAACAAATTTCTTGACACGTCCGGCTGCTTATATCGAAGCGGAGGCAGACGAGGCAAGTTTGTCCCTTTTTGCCTCCATTGCTTAGCACTGAGTAACTGACAGTCGACAAACAGTAAGCGATGCTGTCATAGGGGTACTCGGCAGAGACGCGGGTAGATTTGGTTGAGGTCACGCATAGAACAAATGTCAGCATGCCTGTAACATGCACGTGCAGCCTGCCAAATATGAAAGATATTATCGCGAAAGGTAGCTGAGTGATTTTATTTCGCACGTGACGACGCGATATTTCTTCGGTGTCAAACGCACAACTTCAAATTCCTAGAGAGCACCGCGAGGCAAATGGCCTAAGGCCATCTGAAGGCAAAAAGTGACTTTGACTAAATAAAACCAAATGAAATATTGCGTATCAGAAATCTATTTTTGACACATCTGAGCACCTAAGAATACATGCGGCGCCCTTGTCATGCGAGTCGCCACCATCCTTGGGATTCCTAGATTCTTCTTCCTACCGAGTTCAAACTTGCAAATATGACTTCAATGTTAGGAAACCCCACAATATGGTCCCCTCACTATGTACTGGAAATGTTCGCATGCTATCAGGAAATTTGTGAACAAGCAAAAATAATCGATCTAAAAGGGATAGGATTAATTCCAAAAGTTATTGAAAAGCCCCCAAACTTCAAGCTATTTGTTCTGTGTCTGCTTGCATATTATGAAGGTCTACTCGTAAAACAAGCAAAGACAATCGAATAAAAATATGAATGCCCTAGCACACCTGATGGTTCAGTACGCGGTGCAAGATTGGTGATGCATCGTCTTCCAATGACTCGATACCCAGCTTTGTGCGGTTCGTGTCAAGGCACTTCAAGCAAATGCAGAACATCAATTGCGTAGGGCTGGCTACTTTCTTCGAAGTCACAGCCAGTGCCACCCGCTAAGAAAATGCACACAAACAAGCTGGTGAAGCCAGGCTACAAACCTCGGAGGAGGTCGCAAATCCAGCTAGCCGCCATCGGACTGGATTCTGCCGGACCGCACAGCCATCGGACTGGATCCGGCCGGACCGCACAGCCATCAGACTGGATTCGGCCGGACCGCACAGCCATCAGACTGGATTCGGCCGGACCGCACAGCCATCGGACTGGATTCGGCCGGACCGCACAACCATCGGACTGGATTCGGCCGGACCGCACAACCATCGGACTGGATTCGGCCGGACCGCACATTTCGAGCGACGTCTTCCCAAGGGGATGGCTAGAGTCTCTTGTGGCAACAAAACATACTACACCGACCGCAGGCGTCCCGTCCAGGCAAACGGCCGGCTACGGACACAAACAACCTGAAGGGCGCGGGGTCGTTCAACCGCCAAGTGTACAATACCTCTGGAATGTGCGTGCGCTGTAAAGATCCAGGATGCGGCCGAGCGCCGCCTCGCGGATGATTCTGTACCAAGGGATGGGCAGCGGGCGCGTCCACTGCTCCCCCCCCCCCCCCCCACACACAGTACCCTGCCGAGGTGAAGGCCGCACAGACCCGTATTGATTGTCATACGGGAGTCCAGACGGGCAGCAGTGCTGCGGTAAGACAAGGCGGAGATGCCGTCCCTCGGTGAACTGCCAGGCCACTCAATGTAGCGTCGGACTTGACGGCTGCGAAACAATGGCTGCTGTGTGACATGCTCTAACGGGTGAAGTCGCATACACCCGCCGGCCGGACCTAAACAGACACCCACCGGCCAGACCTAAGCAGACACCCACCAGCCGGACCTACACAGGCACCCGCCGGCCGGACCTAAACAAACACCGGCCGGCCGGACCTCAACAGGCACCCAGCGGCCGGACCTCAACAGACACCCGCCAGCCGGACCTAGACAGATACCCGCTGGTCGGACCGAAGTAGGCACCGCCGGCCGGACCTAAACAGACACTCGCCAGTCGGACCTAAACAGATACCCGCCGGTCGGACCTAAACAGACTCCCGCCGACCAGACCTAAACACAGATACCGCTGACCGGACGCAAACAGACACCGCCGGTCGGACCTAAACAGGCATCCGCCGGCCGGACCCAACCACAGACAGTCACCGGCCGGACCCAAACACAAACATCCGCCCACTGGACCTAAACAGATACCCGCCGGCCAGACCTAAGCACAGACACAGCTGGCCGGACCGAAATAGACACCCGCCTACCGGACCGAAACAGACACCCGCTGGCCGGATCGAAACCGACACCCGCCGACCGGACCTAAACATAGACACCACCGGCGGAACCAACGCATAGACACCATCGGCCGGGCCAAAGCAGACACCGCTGACCGGACCGAAAGAGCCACCCGCCGGCCATCGATGTACGTGATCCATTTCTGGCCTCGCTGGTGATCTCCAGACGGCCTTCCGCAGAAACGCTACGCCGAGCCAAGCGGGCCCGACGTTAACAGCAACAGAGCGGCCGGTCTTCGGGCCAAATCGCCCCACCCGCGGACGCCTGACCTTGACACGCCTCCGCAGGTCCAGGTCCTATCGTTCTGTGACCGAACCCATCTCGGGGTGGGTCATCGCTCCGCTCGCCGGGCCGCCGGGGCCGGCGGCGCGCT